CAATCTTTCAAAGCCTCCCAATATCCATGTCCACCACAAGCCTCTCATCACACCACAAAATCCACCGGAGAAACAACTCCGGCGAGCTCGACGTTTTCGAGGCCGCCCGATACTTCTCTATCGCTGCCCACGACCACACCGTCCCTTCCCGGATGAGCCTCGACATGCCCATGATCATGCGGGCCGGGCCTCCCGACTTCCACCACGGCACAAATAACGCCAAAATAAAACACCCAAAATCCGAAGGCAAGAATAAGGCGCACAAGCAACCGAGCTCGCCGGGCGGCCGCCTCGCGAGCTTCCTCAACTCCCTATTCAACCAGACGACGCTCAAGAAGAAGAAACCGAAGCCCGCAAAAGAGTTCGACGACGAAAATGGGCCTGGTGGGGCCCGCAGAAAGCGAAGGAGCAGCATCAGCCACTTTAGGGTTATCACCAGCAGCGTTACTGCTGCTGGTGATAATCCTACTAATAATAACAATAGTTATAGCTATTATCGTAATGATAGCATTGTGAATTCGAAAAAGTCGGGTTTTCGTACGCCTCCACCTTACGTGGACACGCCAACGAAATCGTACAAGACGGTCTCGATGGTGCTGGCCGAGAAAAATGGTCCCGAGAGGAAAGGAGAAGATCGTGGGCCTTGGATTTTCCAAGAAAAATCCAGGGTTCTCGAGGAGAAAAATCCAGAAGCCCTAGATTTAGGGTTTTTCGATTGGAAATCGAAGGAGGAGAGAGAAAATGCGAAGTTCGGTGACGTGGACGACGGAGGGGAGAGCGACTCGAGTTCGGATTTGTTCGACTTGCCGAGCCATGAGCTCGATTATTACTCGAGTGGCTTGCCGGTTTACGAATCGACTCATATGGACCGGATCAAGATTGGCGTGCCGATTTCGAGGACAACTATTGTATGATTCCATGAATGTTGTTTATTTTTTTTTTTCTTTTTATTTCCTACTTGGTATTTCTTCTTTTTATTATTATGATTATGTCATTTTTCAAGAAACAAGCCATATATTTGGCTTTTTTTTTTTTGGTGATATTTTCTTCATAATGTACAGTTTAGAATGTTTGGGATGTTGTTACTTAGCTACTTTTGATAATTTTTTTCTTTATTTTGCTTTTGTTGGTGTGTTATGGTGTTGCAATTATGAAAAGAGTGTGATTAAAGTAAATAGGACATAATTGTGCATGATTAGGAATAATGCAATTTTGGTGATGGGAAGCCAAAAAGAAGAAGAAGAAATTACAAAATAAAACAAAAGGTAGGGAAACTATCATCACACCCATGTGGTGATGGTGATCATTCAACCTTTAGTGATCATTTTATCTTTCACATGGGAAATAATTAAGTATAAGTAATCATATTGATGAGCATATATAATTTTGTATGTTGTTCTTGTGTTTTTAGGCTAAAGTTACGAGATCTAACAATGAGATATGGAATGAAAGTCCTATAGATATTCGTACGTGCAATGTACATGCATTTATACCTATAAGTGTCTTATTGACGTGACAATATGACAAAAAAAAAAAAAAAAAAAAAAAAAAAAAAAGCGAAAGTAATTCTACAAAATAATTATAATTATTGTTAGGACCAAGAATTCAAAACTCAAATTTCCATCAAACTCAACATGCAAGCTCAAATGGGATTTCATTCTAAAATCAATTGACAATAGAAAGAGTAGTCCACCAAGCTTATATATTAGACATTTAATTTTCCGATGTGGGATTGACTTGGCACACCCTACAAACCTCCCCTCAAACAAGGAGTAGTCCACATTGGGCCTCCCTTGAACGAAATTTATACGATCCAACCATCTTGTACCATCGTTATCACCCACTGATCACTCTTTCGCCAGGAAGACTTTCGATACAAGGCACACGGATCCACCGGCCAGTCGTCCACCTGCTCCAGGGGGAACATGTCATGTATCGCCGTTATCACCCACGGAACCCGCCGCGTGACCACCTTTTCGCCAGGAAGACGTTCGACACGAGGCACACGGGTCCACCAGCCCTGTCCACCTGCTCCATGGGGAACATGCCACGTCATCCACATCGCAACTAGGCTACCAACCGTGACTCTTATACCAATGTTAGGACCAACAGCTCAAAACTCAATTCTTCATCAAGCCCAACGTACAAGCTCAAATGAAGTTTCATTCTAAAACCAATTGGCAATAAAATGAGTTGTCCACCCGGTAATGCTCCCCTACCCACGGTGGGCACATGTTAATATGCTCACCGGTTATGTGGCATGCACACATTGGTGATGTTAATATATTAAAAAAATACATCATCAATGTGTGCATGCCACATATCGGTGAGCATATTAATATGTGTCCACCGTGGGTATGTGAGCATTACTGGTAGCCCACTAAGCTTATAATTGGATTTGGAACCTTTAATTTTCCGATGTGAGATTGGGTTGCACAAACTACAATTATATGAGTGTCTAAAAGTAACCTCGTTTAAATGAGCATAATAGTTAATAATAATGGTAGTCCATAATAATTATAATTCTTGTTTTTGATATTTTCAAGTGACCACAAACATTCAAGTAAATTATATTTGATACTTTCGGTTTTTATGGGCTTCTTCCGAT